TTCATCGTGTCTACATTAGACAAGGTTTTTAAAAGAAAAAAATATATATATAATATTAAATATTCTTTGGCTACTTCCCAATCTTTTTGCTTCCTATCTCTGAATCCTAACTTCCTAAATCAATCATGAGGAAAAGCCAGCTATGCAATTTGTGTTTTATAACTAATCACACACACAAACAAACTTTTCCTTTTAAAAAGGTATGCAGGAAGCCAGTGGAGGTGACAAGGCATTCTACAGATAAATGCCTGTTGTTGACAGGAAAACAAGCAAAAACCCACTTGTTGCGTCATTGGGACTGTAGGAGTACATTTGTTTACATAGATTAAGCATGAGAAAGATTTCAACAGATCTAACCTCTACTTTGCAAAATACACAAAATTGGTATTTCTCATACAGATATGTATTCATATACATTCATACTGTTTTAAAGAAAGTACCCATCAGATGCTCTTTACCTAGAACTTCTTTTTGCTTTTGTGGAACTCTGAACACAGAGCCCCACAAACTCAAGTAGTAGTCACGTTCCACTGTACAGTTTTGCAGATGCAGTTCCCTATACATGCAGAACTGTTATTGCTCCTAAGATTCTACTTCTCCAATATTGTTAGTTCATTTTATGGCTTTTTTTTTTCTGCAACAGGAAATATCTTTCCCTATATTCTGTGCTATTTTGTATTCATTACCTTTTCAAAGTTTATTTTTTTAATTTAAATGTTTTTCAGAAACACTAACTACTTGAGCTAAGAGTACAACTATTTAAGTACACCAATAAGGATCTACACCTGGGTCCCTGGAGATGTGCTATGAAAATCTACTTATTCTAGCTTGCTTGTGCACACAATAGGCCACATTAAAATAGTTTTGCATTTTCTATCATATTAGTGTGGAATCTCTGTGAATAAATCCTGGACTCTCTAATACTGAGATTTAAAAACCACTCCAAGTGAGGTTAGCCTGGCCCAAAAGACCAAAAATCATATGTTCTCCCTCATATGCGGACATTAGATCAAGGGCAAACACAACAAAGGGGAATGGACTTTGATCACATGATAAAGCGAGAGCACACAAGGGAGGTATGAGGATAGGTAAGACACCTGAAAACTAGATAGCATTTGTTGCCTTAACGCAGAGAAACTAAAGCAGATACTTTAAGCAACTGAGGCAATAGGAGAAGGGGACCAGGAACTAGAGAAAAGGTTAGTTCAAGAAGAATTACTTAGAAGGTAACATGCACAGGAAATCAATGCAAGTCAACTCCCTGTATAGCTATCCTTATCTCAACTACTAAAAACCCTTGGTCCTTCCTATTATTGCTTATACTCTCTCTTCAACAAATTAGAGATAAGGGAAAATAGTTTCTGCCAGGTAGCGAGGGTAAGGGGGGTAGGAAGGGAGTGGGGGGGAAGGTAAGGGGGGAGAAATGACCCAAACATTGTATGCACATATGAATAAAATAAAAATTAAAACAAAAACAAAAACACTCCAAAAAACTGCCACTTCCAAGACAGCTTTTAGAGGTAGGATGCCTTTTTGCAGAAAGCTATCTTTTGCTTTCAGAACAATTTTATTTCCATAAGGAAAGTAAAAAAAAAAAAAAGCTGACTAACAACCAAGGAAAAGAAATCCACTTATGATTACATGGCAACCTAAATCTAGCTACATTTCCAATTCTTGTGAAAAGCAAACCCATCAAAATATCATTCAGCAGAATTGGTAATAGAACAATGCAGGATACTCCAAACTAGTAATGTTCTTTCACTGACACATGCTGCAGAGAGAAAAATCTAAATGGTCAGCAGATTCGATAAGCATTCCCAGAAGCAATTAACATAGCATCTCAGTCATGCATGCAAAATATAAAATCACTGCTAGACACAGAGTAGGAAAAATGGTCAAACAATGTGAAGACAGTGTAAGAACAAGCTCAAACAGCAATGCAGGATCATGAAATGGGGCCTCATTTTGATTTGAGGTTTCATAAGATACAAAGGCAGCTGTTTCTAGCTACCTTGTGCAACTATTACATATCCTCAAACACAATGTTTCTAAATGTTAACCCACATTTTGTTCATAAATGAGTCTTTTGGCCTTTATCTCCTTTCCCAGGGAGAATATCACAGATTATTTATGAAAAGTCTATTATTTTCCACTCTATACACCATTGGTTACTATCCACAATTCATCCTAAGTTTAGATTATTACTAGGCTCATGCACTAACCCCTAACATGGCACTACAACATGCTACCAAGCACTAATGCTTACAAAACTATACACATCTCAAAATGGAAGACATTGGTGATTTTGTTGTTCTTAACAACTTGTAACATTTGTCCACAAGTATTAAAATATACATATTATATATTTCTATTGCACATATCCGTTTTAACTTTTCAAAGGAAAAACTTCAGCTAAAATGGACAAATAAAGGAAGGAGACACACCATGGACCAAAGTATATCTAAAGTTACAGTTTTACCATCAAGAGTGCAAAACAGATGAGAAAAAATAGATGGAAATGTATTAAATCCTGGTTACTACAACTTGAACATGACCTCATTGGAAAACCATCTGATGTCAACCATGCAAGATGAGGGAACAATTTCTTGATCAAGTGTTAAACACGGTTTTGAAGATGTGAGGTAAAAATATAAAGCATCTGGCCAAGTGGGTCCGATACTAGTACAAAAATAGTCAGAGCTGGTTTCACTGTGCTTACCTCCCCAGCTCAAAGATCCTACCCAAAAGTTGCCAGAAGACATGAGTAAGATGAGACCCATGCATGTAGGCTCCATTCTGTCTTCTAAAGGAAAATACAGGAAGTTACTGGGGAAGTTATTTACAAAAAATTTTTAGGTTGCCTTTAACCAAAGTTATTTGTATTATGATTAATTAACCTCAATGAAAAAGAAAGTATATTCTATCTAACTATTTACACAAACATTTTATTCCAATTCAAAATGATGATCAATTTCACTAATCATTAGACGTTCAATACTTCATTTTTTGGCCATTTCTTCTTTTTTTTTTGGTGATACTGAGGTTTGAACTCAGGGTTTCACACTTGTTAGGCAGCACTCTACAGCTGGAGTCAAGTCTCCAGTCCTTTATTTTGTCCATTTCCATCACATCACATTCAAGTTTTAGTAAATCTGTCCTATATTCCCAGCATCACAGTACCCACCAGCCTGGGCAGCCATTCCAGGAAAGAGATGATCTAACTTTACCTGTTCTTATTTCTTCTAACAAGTTTAAAATTCCTTCTTATAAAGAATCAAAGTTTTCATGCTTATATAAGAAACAGTCCTCTGTTGATTTGGAACCAAGGACAGGCTCCACAATAAGTCTGTTCATCATGTAGTACAATTGCTAAGAGAAAACAGGAATATCCACGGTTTCTTATGGAACACATTTTTCTTGAGGTTTTTTCCACACCCTGAATTTCTTCTAAATCTATAGTGACCCAGCATCAAGATCCATGCTTCTTACTGGAACTAGTTTTTCTTGTTTGAGTTTTCTTTCAGATTCCTTCCAAATCTTTAATGACCCAAGCACAGGTTTAGGAACATTTCTTCTGAGGCAATTATGAGAAATTTAGTTCCAACTGGGAAAGTTACCTGAGTCCCGGCCTATTGAGCCTGACACACAACTTATCACCTAGAAAAATAAGTTAACATCCAAGTATGCTCCTCTAAAAAATGGAACTACATAATGTAAAATGCCAAAAAGTCCGATGATGCTACATTAACACATTTTTGCTTCTTTTTCTTAGGAGAATTGACTTAAATGGAAAATTTTCTCATTTTTCCCCTCTACTCCTCTTTGTTCAAAGTTGAAGGCAGGTTGTTTATATGGTCCATTACATCTTTTTTTTTGCAGTACTGGGGTTTGAACTCAGGGCTTCGAGCTTGCTAAGCAGGCATTCTACATTTTAGCCACTCCACCAGCTCTTTTTTGTTTGGGTGTTTTCAAGATAGGGTCTTGTGATTATTTGCCTGGGCTGGCTTCGACCTCGATCCTCCTGAATTCTACTCCTGAGTAACTAGGATTACAGGCTCAGCCACCGGCACCCAGCTCCATTACATCTTCTTAACTGAAAAGACACAAATGCTACTTTTCTTCCAGTTTCACCACATGAAAATAAAGTCTCATGTGCCATATATGACTCACAAAGATGAAAAAATTGTAATCTTAGGGAGGTGAACAGGGTTCTATCACTGTACTCAAACTGTTTTCTTCTTTTTAAATTATTTTTTCATTAATTTTTTTATTTTGGAACAGGGTCTCACTATGTAGCTCAGCTGGCTTTGAACTCACATGCTCCTGCCTCCACCCACTAACTGCTGGGATTACAGGTGTGGACCACCATGCTGCCCTGTGTTGTTTTCCATTACCACTCTCAGTGAAATGCAGCACACATTCACATGGTTAGCTTCTATACAACCTGGCTCTTCCTTAGAAACATTTAAAAATACCAAACATTCACAGCCTTCTACAAAAGTCAACACAACTTCCTTTCCAAGAGAAAATCCCTCCTTCAATCCTCAAAAGTGTGGATTTACATGTGTAAAATGTGTATTCTATATAGAAACTGTGACGGTTTATTCTCATATCACATCAACCATGGTATCTTGTCTTTTATGCTTCTTTGTATCACATCAGAAGTTTAACTGCAAAATTGGAGCTTTTTCTTGTCCAGTAAATCTATGTCACAGGATTTAGAAATATGTAACTTTTAAACATTTAAATTATAAGGAATACTTGAAATTTACTTTGTAATCTCAACTTGCTTATCATATAAAGGCCAAAACTGGAAGACATTTTTTTAAAAAGCCCTGAAGTCATTCATACTCGCTAGTTTTCTTTTTGCAACAAAAGGAAAGAATTCAAAAATATTTACTACCTAAGCACCTGTTTCAAATTAAACCTCATCATTCCATTTGCAAAACAGCTTCTTTATAATTAATCAAACTGCAACAGAAGACCCAGGTCAGTTGCTATTTTTTTTTTCCTTCCTAGAGAATTCAGCTGGACAACTGCATCCTAAGGGCTTCTCTGTGTTGGAATCTGAGAGGTGAACAAAAGAAAAGCAGTCTTTTCAAACCATGGAGGTAATGTGTAGAAAGATATCCATATTTCAATAGGAAAGTGACTGGATAAAAGAAGCAGGACTACCCGCTCGAGAAGACAGCAGAGAAATTCCTGGAAATAAAAAAATAAAAATAGGAAGATTAGGATGGGTACCTCTGCAAGAGCTTATTTTTAAAAACAACACACAAAGAAAAGGGTGTTTTGGCCAAGTGTGGGAATATTACCTTTAATCTCAGCACTCAGGAAGCCGAGACCAGAGGATCTTAAGTTCTAAAAGGATCTGCATTTCCTTTATGCAAATGGAGTAATATACACAAATTTTTTAATGCCATAAAAATTACGATTGATATAAAACAAGTGTTTAAGAAGGCAGTACCAAGCACGGTGGAACAGTGCGAACTGTAATTTCCCTACTTGGGAGGTGAATTAGGAAGACCATTTGCGCCCACAAGTTTTGAGACCAGCCTGGGTAATGGGGTAAAAAAAAAAAAAAAAAAAAAGGCAGTATGTATTCCAAGTCTGATGCTAGTACTGGAGATATGGCTCAAGCTGTAATGCTCCTGCCTACCAAGTGTGAACCCTGAGTTCCCTAATACTGCCACATTACCTAAATTTACTTGCATCAGTTACTATTAAATAGTTCCCCATTTCCCCTTCTGTGCTGCCCTGAAAAGCACTATTCTATGTCTCTTTGATTCTTTTCTTGGCAGTACTCTACCACTCCACACCAGCCCTTTTTTGCATTGGATATTTTCTAGATAAGGTCTTACAAAAAACTATTTGCCAGGGCTGGCCTTGAACTCAGTCTCTGCCTCCCAGTAGCTAGATCGAAGACTTAAGTTGCCGACCCAGTGTCTTAACACTGTAAGAACCCACAAGTGGTATACAAAGCTTTAATCCTTAAACTGATTATAAACTAAATGGTTTTAATATACTCAATGTGTATAAATAAATGTTAAGAGTTGAATTGTGTTCTGCCAAAACTGATTATGTTGATGTATTGATGTCTAGCATTTCATGTGACTTTATTTGGAAATAAGGTCAATACAGATGCAATTAGTTAAGATTAGACCATACTGGAACAGGTTATAACTTTTGTGTCCTTATAAAAAAGAAGTTAAAACTTGTAAGTGGTTTTTTGTTTGCGACTATAATCCCAGTTAAAGGCTGAGGCAAGGCTCTTGAGTTCAAGAGCAGCCTGGCAACACTGTGAGATCCCATCTCAAAAAAAAAAAACCAAAAAATAAGGCTGGCACAAGTAGTAAAGTTCCTTCAAAGGCTATCCAAGCATGAGGCCATGCATTCAAACCTCAGTACTGCTAAAAACAAAACAAAAAAAGCAAAACAAACAAAAAAGATAGGACTCAGATACGTAACAAGCAAGGGACTACCGAGAGAGCCTGAAGAAGGAACTGGAATGATCTTTCCCTGAGTACCTTCAGATGGGCTACAACACCTTTATTTAATGCTTGCCCTCTAGAACTGCAAGACAGTAGATTTGTTGTTCTCAGCTACCCAGTTTGTGGTTCTTTAAGCAGCAGGAGGATTTCGAGTTCAAGGCCAACCTGAGCTACATAGCAAGACCCTGTCTGAAAACAAACAACAAAAATCTTAAGGCTGGGGATGTATCACAATAGTTGGGGGCAATCCTAGGATATACAAGGTCCTGGTTTTGATACACAGGATTCAAAACAGTAACAAAACTTAAGTGATTATAAAACTTGCCTAGTAACATTTACTTTCAAATTAGTTAATTTTCTTCAATCTAATTAAATCAGTACCTGTTTTCTGTATTCAATGAAAATTACTGGTTGGATAAATGATTAATTTTTTTCTTTTTTTAAATCTATTACATTGTCTTTGCTAAAATATAAAATGCAAAAAAATAAAACAGAACAAAATATATCTGAAGTGCAAGCTAGGGGTGGCGCCTATAGTCCCACTAGTGGGGAAGCTGAAGTGGAGGGTCACGTAAGCCCAGGAGTTTGTGGCTGGTCTGGGCAACAACATAGTAGGACCCCATCTCTTAAAAAAGAAAAAGACAGAGAGAACATGTATGGAATTATCACAATGAAATCCCCTTAAATTATTAATGTATGATAAATCAAAAAAAATTTTTAAGCCCAATGTCACTGTCCCATGCCTGTAATCCTAGCTACTTGGGAGGCTGAGATGGAGAGGATTTCAGTTTGAGGGGAGCCTGGGTAAATAGTTCAAGAGACCCCCGCCATCTCCAAAACTAACCATAGTAAAATGGACTGGAAGTTTGGTTCAAATGTTAAAGCACCTGCCTTCCACACACAACAGCCCTGAGTTCAAACTCCAGTCCCATTAAAAAAAAAAAAATTCATTAAAAAGGGATAAAAATATGTATGCCATCTAGTTAGCTATACTCAACTATCAATAATTTACAGTCATCTTTTTTGTGTGAGATAGGCTCTTGCTACATAGCCGGGACTGGCCTTCAACTTAAAATCCTGCCTGAGCCTTACATGTATTCACATAACACACATTTACCACCATGTTCAGCTAAGTCACTTTTTAAAAAAATGTATTATAAATGTTTTATTTGTATATGTGTATAAAACACAAACGTAAAAAATTTTTTTAAAAAAACGAATGAAATTCAGTTAACATACCTATTATTAAATATCATTATGAATGGTTTTGAAAAAATTTTAAGTGTTTAAAATTTTACTGTCTATACCATTTCTTCCACAGTAAAAATTCATTTTTAACACAGCTGATTTAAGTCAGATACCACATTAACTTTTATACTTAATACCTTTGCTTCCTTTGTTCAGCCTGATTTCTATGAAAATATTAAGTCAAAAGAGACATGATCCAGCATACATTAGTAAATTACAGCCACTTTTTAAAGTTCATCTTCTTTTGAAGCTAACAGCTTATTCCACTATTGTCTAGCTATTTTCAAGCTCTAGAAACAGTATTTGGAATGATTAACCTACTACTACTTACTTGCCAGGTCCTGAGTTCAGAATGTTGTTTTGAGATGAAATTAAAAGCACCTGTTGTCAGGAAAATGTTCTTCCTGTGTGATAAAGTTCCTGAAAATAAAAACATTAAAGTAAGGATATAGCCCTCACTGGTGCACTTGTGAGGCAGGGACAGAAGGATCAAGGTCTGAGGTCAGCCTAGGCAAAAGTGGGAGACAGTATCTGCAAAACAAATTAAAAAGCAAAAGGCCTGGGGAAGTGGCTCAAGTGGGAGAGTGCCCTGAGTTAAATCCTCACACTTCTTGAAGCAGTAGTTCTGAAGCTTTTATGAAACACAGTTCTCAGAATCTGCTGATAGAATGAACTGTCTTCTTCCCCCCAAAATATGTTAATTTTGCCTAACACTTCGAGTTTCTTCTCCTCTACTTAAGACCTTTGCTTTAGTGTAGATATACTGTCCTCTGTACAACAGGGAAGAATGTTAGGTTCCTTTCCTCTGGTCCACATCTTTTTTAGTTCTGGATGAGATTAAAAAAAAAAAAAATTAAGGTTCTGTTTTAGAAGTGTTTCCTTACTGCTAATTTCAGCTTTACTAAGTCTAGGGCCAGCAAAAAGCATATGACCTATCAAAAACATTCGCTTGTATTGGATTTCCATTTAAACGGGGCCCAATTAATGTGTCGCAGGTTTTTTGTTTGGTGTTTTTCTGAGTTAGGGTCTCAACTGGCCTCAGACTTTTGATCTTCTGCTTCATCCTGGTCAGAGGTGAGATTTCAGCAGTATAGTGACTGCCAAGCCACGCCTGTGCCACAGTTTTGATCAGGCCTCAATTCAGAAATGTAGTAACAGAAACTTTTCTAGAAATCTAAGTGAGATCCAGGGAGAGGTTATAATACAAATTACAAGAGATGCCCATAAACTTAAACAAGAACCAAATACAAAATCTGACAGCACTGAGACTCAATCCTGCCACTTACACAAACCATATTCTAACAATATTCTCCAAAACTGTTCGCACTATCTCTCTATTAAAAACAAAAGAGCGCCGTGGGTCCGATCTAGCGCCAGCCGCCGTGAATGCGCCATAGGCCATGGCCGGGACAGAGTGGGCAAAGCTGCTCACGGACAGCTGGGGTGCGGGTGCGCGAGGGGCGCGTGGAGAGCGGTTCCGAGGGCTCTGGGAGAACCCGAGCACCTGTTACACGGACAGCTCAAGGTCAGCGGGCTGGGGACCAGAGCCCCTGCCGCTGCAGGCCACCTGCCACCTGCACGCACGCCGCGGGCCCCAGCTGCCCGAGGCGGCGGGGCGATGAGTGGACTGCCAAGAGCACCCCAAAAAAGCGCCGAGGCCGACCTGCGGCCGCCTGACGCGGGCCCGCGCGGTGCCGTCCCCCGGGAAGGAGCCGACCGCGCAAAGGCCACACGGGCCAGGCACAGGAAGGACAGTGGGGGTTGAGGAGGGGGGCAGACTCATGCACCCGAAGACGAGGCGGCCGACCGAGGGGCGGCCGAGGCTGGAACCCCCCCGGTCCAGGCCCGGCCGGCGGCCAGCAGGCTCCAGCGCACTCCGTCCACGGCCGGGATGGCTGCCCCACCTTCTCACCGCCTACTCGTCCTCCGTCGACAGCCTTCTCGGCTCACCTCGCGCAGTCCAGCAGAGGCACTCGGCCTCCGGCGGCGGCGACGACGAACCGGCCCACAGGCCAGCCGGCCGCCCGGCGCCTCACTCCGCCATCTTCGCTCCTTCTCACGTCCTCCAACTCTAGGACGGGCGGCTCCCACAAGTCCCGCCCCACAGCGAGTCCTGATTGGACAAGGGCTTGCTCGCGGCGCGCGCGCGAACTCCTTCTGCCACTGGTTGGCTGGGATGTACATCCATCAATAGCCACGCGCTCAAGCTCTTTGGATTGGGTTTTAGCGTGCAAATTACAAGAAAAAACGCTTTTGTGATTCGTGTATTAGGAATGTAAAATTACTCTCTAGTGGAAGCAATGCCACATCTTGGTAAGAGAGTATGCCACTATGTTAATTTAAGCCACTTATTTAAAGCCACTGTTAAATTGAATTGTAGGACTAGTAATTTCATTACTGAGGCTGGAGGGTTTTTCATCCTGGACGTAATACACCTAGGGAAACGTTTTGTTTTTGAGACCAAACCTTCATAGCCCAGGGCGGTCTTGAGCTTGCGATCCTCCTGTCTTGTCACTTGTTCGCTGGGAATATAAGCATGTGCCACTGTCCGCTCCATTTAGACTCTATTTTGAGGTGGGGGGGTGGAACTGGGGTTTGAACTCGGGGCTTGGCGCTTGCAAAACAGGAGCTCTAGTGCTGGAGCCGCACTTCCTGTCCATTTTGTTCTGGTTATTTTGGAGATGGGGGGATACCCTCTCAAACTATTTGCTCAGGCTGGACTCGAACCACAATCCTCCAATCTCAGCCTCCCAAGTAACTAGATTACATACATGAGCCACCAACCCCCCAGCTTCCATTTAGACTCTTAAGGACGTAACTGTTGCCCTTCTGAGCAATTGTCTGGTCAATACATTTAACTTTTCTTTGAGAGCCTTTCTGTGGAGTGACACTTGGCAGTTTTCTTGTTTCCTCCTCCCAGCTGTAGGATTCTGAGATCTTTATTTTACAGATGGTTCCAGGAGAGGCAGGGAAGGTAATATGGTGGCTTTTCCAGGTTGCCTACCCCTAGCTAGACAATGTGGACCCACAGTACTTACCAGACACCACCAGTGTTGTGTCATCTGGAACACTTAATAGAATTGTAGAGTCCAAGTCTGAACCTTCTCCCAAAACCAGTTCTCTAAGGCCTCCTGAGGCCAACAAATCTTATTTTTGTAAAAGTTTAGAATGTTTTTAGTTGAAAAACTTAACAGTTCACATCATACTTAATGGTAAGATTTTATACTTGTATCAAGAACAAAGCAAGGACATGGGCTACCACTGGGGCAGGACAGATGGATGAGGAGAAAGGGGAGTTAAAATTATATTAGCCAGGTGCTGGTGGCTCACGCCTATAATCCTAGCTGCTCAGGAGGCAGAGATCAGGAAGATCACTGCTTGAAACCAGCAAATATTTGGTGAGACCCTATCTGGAAAATATCCAACAACAAAAAGGACTGGCAGAGTGGGTTGAGTGGTAGAGTACCTGCCTAGCAAGCAGTGAGGCTCCAAGTTCAAACCCCTGTACCTCCAAAAAAATAAATAAGAAATACAATAAAATTTAACATCTTAACTTTTTCTGGTTCTTGTTTGAAAATTTCTTTCCTTTTGTTAACCTATCCTTTTTCAGGGTGGGAAATGGGCAGGTCTCACTGATCCTTCTGCCTCAGTCTCCTAAGTGTTTGAGTGCTGGGATTATAGGCATGCACCACAGCCCACTCAAATATCCTTCCTTTTTAATGCTAAATATTACATTGTATTTATACCACATTTTATCCAATCATTTGTTGCTTTCCTCTTTGGCTATCATGAATAAAGCTTCAATGTCACAGGTACACAAATATCTCTCAAGTTTTTGTTTAAATTGTTTTGGGTATATACTCATAAGTGGAGTTGCTGGATCATAAGATAATTCTATTTGTAAGTTTTTGGGCTGTATGTGGTGGCACATACTTGGTAGGAAGATCTCCAAAAGTCCAGCCTGAGCTACATAGCAAGACCCTGTCCCACAACAAACAAACCCAACACTCACAAAAAAAACCCCTCCATCTTACATTCCTACCAGTAGTACAGAGGGTCCCAAACTGGTTTATCTTTTTATTATTGAGTTGAAGTAGTGATGTACAAATATATTTTCATTTCAAGGGCTGAGGACCTGGCTCAAGTGTTAAGAGTGCCTTCCTAGCAAATGCAAGGCCCTGAGTTCAAACTCCAGTTCCAAGAACAACAAAAAACAATGAAAAGCCTAGCCTATGAAATGAATACACACACACACACACACACACACACACACACACACGACAGTACTGGGGTTTGAACTCAGGGCCTTGCATGTGCTAAGTAGGCACTCTACCACCTGAGCCACTCTGCCAGCCCTGCAAGAAATATTTTAATAGCAGCTAGAAATTTTATATTTCACTGTTGGCAGAGAAAAGACAAATCCTACCCTCAAAAAACTCACAGTCCATGATAGATAGACTGGCTCAAGTGGTAGAGTGCTTGCCTAGCAATAAGAGAGGCCCTAAGTTCTATACCCAGTACCACAACAAAAGGAAGACAGACAGATAGAAACTTAGCATGATGACAAATAGTGCTTTTTTTTCCTTTCAGTCCATAATGCTTTTCCAGTATTGCAAATCTCTAAACCACATCACTACAATCACTTTTTTCTTCTTTTTTTTTTCGCAGTACTGAAGTTTAAACTCAGGGCTTCACATTTGCTAGGTGGGTGCTCTATCACCTGAGCCACACCTCTAGCCTAACCACTTCTGTTTCCAAGGTGATAAGGAAAAAGATGTGACATCTGTAGAAACTAGATAGGAACTACTGAGCTCAACCAGGACACATAGTTACAAAGATCCAGGTTTTGGCTCAGCCTGAATTATATGTAATAACATTATTTTTGGTTTAGTATTATCAGGGATGTTCCACTTAAGTAAATTTCCATCATTCTGAAGATTAAACCTGTAAGCACCAGCACATTTTAAACATGGAGGACTTGAAGTCTCTCTTTTTTTGTAGTACTGAGGTTTGAATTCAGGGCCTCCACCTTGAGCCACTCACTAGCCCTTTTTTGTGATAGGTTTTATCGAGATAGGGTCTTGCAAACTATTTGCCCAGGCTGGCTTCACCACAGTCCTCCTGATCTCTGCCTCCTAAGTATCATAGGATTATAGGCGTGAGACACTGGCACCTGGCGAGATCTTTCTTATAAACTCATGTAGCCATACCTTCAGGATTAATAGGATGCTTAAGATTATCTGAGCTACACTAGACTATTTATGGGGCTACTTTATTTTTTTCTGACTTCCTTCTTTGATTTAGGGAGTGAAGAAAAGCAATTGAATCTTACCTGGAATGAATGGGAGTGATCAGACAGTGTCAGCACCTAGAGATGAGTGCCTCCACTTCCCAGGTCTGGGTTGCAGCTAAGTGCATCCGCATTTTGACAGCACTGACATAACCCTGAGCAGGGGAGACACTATCTGTGATTTCAAGCTTGAAGGTCACTGAATTATATAAAACTCTTTAAAACACATAGACAAAAATCAGCCAACTTATTTTGTTTTAACCGTAAGTCTTTTATTGATGGATCAAAGAATACAACTGGGGACAATAAGGCACAACTGTGGAATAAAACAGTTCGCTAGACAGCCAAAGGAGGGAAGCCGTATCTCAGGAACTCTAAAGATGGAAATCAAGGAGCCTCTGAAGTACCTCTCTTAACAGCCAAGTTTTCCCTTTGGTATAATTCCTATTTAGTATCACTTGATCATAGAGTTAACTGATACTTCATGAAGAATTCCTCACCCGTTTATACTTGAACCATCCAGCCTGGTCATGCCTCTCTGTTCCCCACCTTTACCCATTCCTTTGCAGTGGTATTTTTTTTTTTAAGCAATTTCCTTCCTAAAGAATTGTTTATACATCTTTGATAGCCTTCCAAAGCAAGGAAACTAGCAAGCAAACAGCAAGCAACGAGTCAGAGAAAGTCAGCCAAGGGCATCAGATGAATAAATAAACCTGTACAGACAGACATGGGATGGCAATTGCCTGATTCCAGAAAGTCTAAATGAAGCTGACTTTGGCAGAAAAGTTGCTCTGGCTCACTCAAAAACCTCTAATGCCACCTCAGGTTGTGCCACCAGTGTCAGACCCCTGGTTTTCAGGAGTCTACACTAGGAGCTAGGAAGGTGATGTAACCAGGCAGCTAATGATACAGTACATTCAATGCTCTGGATCTGTATTAGGAGCTGACTATGGCTTCCTGCATTAACATTTGCCAAGTGTAAAATTCACAGGGAATTTTATGCAAAATTTCAAGACGTAATCTTTAATTCTTTTGGACTGGGATAAGTTAGGCACTTCTGTAGCACTAATCTTTCTACTTGCAAATGTGACCTGGAAACAGTCCAGTGCATGCTAACACAGGCATAACCCAGGCTGCAGCGTGTGAACACAGGGGCTTTATGGGGCATCCAGCCCCCTTGTTCAAAAAGCCACAAGAAGGTCCCCAAGTATGCTGTCAGAACAGCCGCTATGGTGGTCACAGTGTCCCAAAGCTAAGCAAACTTGCAGACACAGGACTATTTTCTGAATAGTTAACACTGCACTCACAAGAGGAGCCATGGGAATCAGAGGCCAGAGGTAGAGTGACCTGGGCAAGCCACCTAGAAGATTCAGCTCTACACTTCTCACCAAGGCCACCTTTCACAAAGGACTTCTCCACTCAGAAGCCCTCTGATGATGCTGCAGTGCAGGGGACCAAGGAGGGGGTCACATTCTTTCAAGAGAAGTGGTTACTGAGAAGCTCCTGGAAAGGCAACATCCCAGAGACCCACGAAGTGATAATCGAGATCACCCAACTATCCTGCCAACCCAGAAACAGATTGAACAAGCGTACCTGGGGTGCCAAGTGGAGCAGAGGTAACTGTGAGGCTTAATAAAAAGCAGGGAAGCTGGAAGAAGTGGATGGTAGGCTGGGTGACCAGGAGGGAGGAAGCAAAGGACTTGTAGACAGGATGCAGGAGCAGCCAGAGCTTCACTGCTGGCAAGGTAGTATGGCTGTTGTCTACATCAGTGACAGCCTTGCTGGCTTGTCATTCTTGGCAGGAATCCCTCTCTCACTATCTCAGATGGGATGGAAGGTAGCATTCAGCAGCAAAGCAGGGGAGACGGTGTTTATAGATGGAGGACCGGTGGATGGCCACTGAGCAGAAACGGACCGGGGTAGCATGCCATCGTGCTCTGGGTCAACAACAAAGGCAGGGCCTTGTGGAAAGATGGGGTTTGGGTTGTCATGCAATCGCAGGAATACTCTGGGAAGGGGACAATAGGGTGGAGGTGGGGCTGGTGGGCAGGAGGGCTCTAAAGTTCCAGTTCTTAAATACTAGAGAGTGAGGAATGGCTTGGTCTCTGTCCTTCAGTGAAGAAATCGGATGCTCATTTTCTGTTCTACATCCACCTTCTCCAAAACCTGGTAGGAAAAATCCCAGTACAGTTAGGAAGAGCACAGCAATCCCAAGAACTTTTCCGAAGAGCGCGTTCCCCCTCCCCCTATGGAGCAGAACCTAACACAAAATCAAGAGGTGATCGACTGACCTTCACAAACTCTGTGAAAGATATGGCACTGTCCCCATCCTGGTCGGCTTCCTGGATGGTCCTGTCTGCGATGCTGCCCAGCTGCTCATCTGAGATGTTCACTCCAACCATCATGCGGAGCACCTACAAGACCAAGAGCCTGGAATCACAGGGGACTTGGGACTCAGAGGGACTCCTGCTGAGGTTACAGGCAAAGCCACCCAGCACCCCTTTCCTTGACTGTCTGAAGATTAATGGATAGAAAACCGATACGCTTCTCATGCAGGCCATTCCGAACAAGGATGGAAGCAGAGCTCTTCAGCAAGGTCCCTGGATAGGCAGGCAATGCCTCACTAAGGGAAAGTCCTCTGCATTTGGCTAGTCCCTATTCTTCCTGCCTAAAGAGCAGATACAATGCCTGGTGGCATAGCAGCCATCCTGGGGTATGTGGCATGGATGTACCAAAAGCCAGGGTCTTGGACCAGCCTAGACAACCTATCCCCAGATATCTTGCTTCATGAGTCACACTAGTTCCTTATCGATGTCAGTTTGGTGGGACTTTCTGGAATGGCACCCAAATGCACCTCTGTGAGGAGGTGCATTAAGCCAGCTATTCCTGGGGTATTGCCCAAAAGACATAAAGATTTTTGAACTCAGGGCCTAAACCTTGAGCCACTCCACCAGCCCTGGAAAAAACCTAATGGGTTTTTTCGAGATAATTTCTCACGAACTATTTGCCCAAGCTGGCTTCGAACTGCCATCCTCCTGATCTCTGCCTCCTGAGTAGCTAGGATCACAGGCGTGAGCCACCAGCACCCGGCAGACATAAAGACTCTTGAAGGTTACTCAGGAAGCCAAGGCAAGAGGACTGCAAGTCTGAGTCTAGGCTGGATAACTTAGCAAGACCCTGTTACAAAAACAAAAATAAAAACAAAGGGCTGGGGACATAGCTCAGTGATAGAACTCTTGCCTAGCATGCACCAGGCCCTGAGTTCAATCCCTAGCAACACACCTATACAAAATTGCTATCTTAAACAAAAGAAGCAGCTTTAATACTGTACTCTCATATAATATGAAAAAGTTGACTCTTAGGCTGAATGGAATAGAGACAGCCACCTCTGTCTGGGCAAGAGCTGAGCTTTCCCACAAGAAGGCAACCCTGTAGCCCTATAGTTCCAGGCCTTCCTTTCACTCGCTTCTCTATGTCCTTCTTGACATACTGATTTATACCAACACTGTTTTCTTCCTTCACAAACCAATTTTTTTTGGTTTGTTTCTTCAGACAGGGTCTTGCTATGTAGCCCAGGCTGGCCTTGAATTTCTGGGCTCAAGTGATCTATTGCGTCAGCCTCCGAGGAGCTGCCACTGTTAGTGTGTACCAACCATAGTACCCAGCTGTAAACCAACTCTTGGAAACTGGAATTTGTACATTTTAGGCACAAATGTATAAGGGTTAATAAAACAGAGGCCATGCCGGCAAAGGCCATTTGAGCCAATTTCCCTGAACATGGTTGGCCAAGTCAATGAAACCAAATTCAAACTGTGACTTCTTCAGATTTCAATCCAATTACTTTCTAAGTTGTTTGATTTTTAGAATGATGAACAACTGAGCTTAGGATGTAGCTCAGGGGTAGAGTACTTGCCTAGCATAATCCAGGCCATGGGCTCAATCCCCGACACCACACCCAGAAAAAGAACTATAGAACTGAGGGATGCATTCGTAACTGGGTGGTGTACTGCACCAGGAGTGCAGTGTCTTAAAAATCACCTTATCCGATCCATTAATGAGGACTTGAGGGCCAGCTCAGAAGTGACTTGATCCAGGTCCCAAAACCTCTGGCCTAAGCCATCTGCCCAGGCCTCCATTTGCAGGCCAGTGCTCCTTCCACCTGTCTGTGTTGCCACTTACTGTTCCTAGTGAAGTTTAAAATATAGTATTCTTTCCATACATTTCTTGATTCATAGTATCAGTATCTCATATTATTCACTGTGTTAATATTTGGAATTTTCACATCTATATGAATAAAAGAGGTTGGGTCACAATTTTCTTTTCTTATACTGTCTTTATAAGGTTTTCATGTTAAAGGTCCACCAGCCTTGCTGAAGGAGTGGCTCAAGTCGTAAGAGCGCCTGTCCAGCAAGCATGAGGCCCTGAGTTCACCCAGTGCCGCCAAACAAATGAACAAACACATAAAGCTGTGCTAGCCTCATGAGTTGGGGAGCACAGAATTATACTTATTGAAGTATAAATGATATGCAATAAACTATAGGTTTAGCAAATGTCTTAGAACTCACAGTGTCTGAAAAGATAAACTTTGTCCTCTCACTATGGCAAAAATGTTCACATTCTCTTCTTACTACAATAAAACTAGTCGTCTGACTCCCCAACAGTCCAGGAGTAATTTGTTCCAAAGTCATTCCTAGCCCCAGGAGCACTCCAGTGGAGCTGATTGGAAATCTGGTCACAGTGTCCTCCTTACTACCTGCCCCAGGCTTTCTTTAGCCTAATAACAGAAAATCAATCAACGCTTCATTCCAAAACATGTTTCTAGCAGCCAGCTCTGGACCAGAGGATGGAAACATGTAAGTCCAGAATGGCTGCTCTGTCCTTCTCTTCGGTGCTCAGAAGCCCATGTGTACAACTTTCAGTTCGACAAACTCTTCTCAGTGATGAAAGCTATCTCTACTTCAAAAGCAAGGAACACTAATACTGATCAGCGTACTGTTTTGTTTTTGCTCAGACAGAAATGTTGGAAAACTTTCGGTTGGTCTTTAATCTGGCTGAAACAATCTTTAACTTTTAGTCTTCTTAAGGCACTGAATGAACTTAGATTTACTTAGGAGTGAGTGGAAACCACTTCAGTTTTTAGGTGTATCGTGGAACAGAAATATCACCCCATAGAGATCCCTGCATGTGTAGCCTCCTAGCATCGGCCAGTCTCAAGGCAGGGATAATTTTCTCCCCATCTGAATTTAGAACAGGGGAAAGCAACGAGCACCAGTGCTAGAGGAGGCAGGGAATTGTCCACAGGAACAGCAAAGGACAGAGCGGTCAGCAACTGACTGTCAGGTCAAGTGAAAGGATAGACTGAACAGCACAATTTACCTGAGAATCACCACAAAGCACCTGACTGCCAACAAGCCGCCCTGGCAATAACTGAACCATTTGCTCTAGACCATGTCACATATTTCCCCTCTGGCAATCACCACTAAGAGACATGCAGTTAGCACCTAAGTGGTGGAGACATCAGTGTGTGTGAGGCCTCGGAGCCACTGCAAATGTTTCAAGTCCTTTGTTCTGTCTTGTATGTATGATGGAACACTACACAAAGCAGGTGTTAAATTAATGCTCACTGAAGGAAAGAACGATGGATGCCCACAAAAACAAGCAGGCAGGGTCCACAGCACAAGCTGTCTTAGAAGGCTCACATACCTGTAACAGCTCATCACGGGAGATCTTGTCATCTTTATCCAGATCGTACAGTCTAAAAGCAACTGTTAGGGAACAAGAAGTTAGTAGAAATCCTGCGCAGTTTTGCCTCTTCTCTCTGAAGAAGCTAAACATGTAGAAGACACTAGACAGAACATTGGGAACCAACTGACAGATTTGCCATTAACTGTAGGACATTTAAAGACACTGTAAAACTTAGGAAATTGACACTTGATGGCATCTTAGATCTGATGAAATGTACTCTCTCTTGTAACAAATCAGAAAATTTCATACGAGAAAGCCAAATGCTCCTTTTCTTTTCTTTTTGACGGTAGTGAGATTTGAACTCAGGGCCTCGTGCTAGCTAGGCAAACTCTCTACCACTTGAACAATACCCTCAGTCCCTCAAATGTTCCCTTTCTTATCCTAGAATGTGGGGGGAAGAAAAGCACAAACAAACAAACAAGCAAAAAAACCCATATGCTTAAATGGTTCTGTAAGTAAGTCACCTCAAACGAGTCATAAGCTCTTCCACACACCACTCAGAGGAAACCAACACTAAGAGCCACACAGACACAATAGCTGCCTACACAGAGTGTTGCCTTAGAAACATGGCCAATGTCAAGCAATGCCCTACCACCTGGAGTTTCAGATTACAAACAGCCAGACTCTTCTGTACTCCTGGCCTTCTCAGGTTTCTTCCTGTTTAACAATAGATGAGTCTTCTAGAAAATAGGATATACAAGAACTGTGCTTGTGTCCATGAAAGCAAGTACTCAGGACAACAAAACCATTCAGCTTTTGCTATGCACCAAAGAGCTGCTCTGAGAACAGTGTGACAACACTGGGTGATTTTGTAGGCACACTGAGGAAGTAACAGGCTTGTCATATTGCTGAATTTCTGGTGGAGCTGGGGAAAACACCAAGGAGAAACAGGAGAATAGTTTGAGGCCACCCTGAGCTACATAGCAAGTTCTAAGCCACTGTAGGCTACACAGAAAGACCCTGTCTCAAAATAAAGGCAGGCATCATGGTACATGCCTATAATCTGGGGAGGGGTAGAGAAGAAGGGAGGGACATGGCACATTTATTACAATAAATGAAAGAATAATGGCACATTATTATTAACTGAAGTCCATAGTTTATATTAAGCTTCACTGTTTTGCTGTCATATATCTACCATTACCACACTTAACAGTATAGTTTCACTTCCTTCAAAATTCCCTCTTCACCTATTCATTCTCCCCTTCCTAACAGAATCCCATCCACCTAGGCTCTGGTGGCTCACACCTGTAATCTAGCTACCTGGGAGGTTGAGATTGGTAGGATCACAGTTTGAGGCTAACCCAGGCAAAAAGTACATGAGACCCCATCTCAATCAACAGCTAGGTGCTGTGGCATGCACCTGTCATTCCAGCTACAGTGGGAAGTACAAAATAGAACAATAGTGGTCTAGGCCAGCCTGAGCAAAATTCAAGAACTTATCTCCAAAATAGTAAGAGCAAAAAGTGCTGGAGGCATGGCTTAAGCAATACAGCACCTGCCTAGCAAGCTCGAAGCCCTGAGTTCAAACCCCAGTAACTGCTACAAGCACACAAAAAGAATCCCATGCACAGCACTGGAGGGCTCCCTTAGCACTTGGTACTCTCCTAACCTGCACAACCTCTATCAGTCTCTCCTCTCCCAGCCCCAAACTGTAGAATTTGGCCCTGGTGAAGGAAATATACCACTGAAAATGAGAATAGCTGTAACGCTGCTGGATGCTAACAGGAATGCATCCTGGGTCCTACAGATATACTGGAGCACATTTGCATGAAAGTAAATAGAGAAGTTTGGAGGCACTGAAAGTCATCAATCATATCATAAAGAAAAAAAGGTTTGTGAGACAAGGTGTTGCTGGGTAGAACAGGCTAGACTCTAACTTGAGATTCTCTTGCCTCAGCCTCTTGATTAGATGGAATTATAGATATGGACCACCATGCCCATCTGTTTTGGGCTTTTTTTGGCATGCTGGAATTTGAACTCAGGGCTTTACGCTTGCTCTACCATCTGCGCCACTCTGCCAAACCTGTTTTATGTGAGGTATTTTCAAGATAGGGTCTCTTGAACTATTTGCCTGGGCTGGCCTCAAACCTTGATCCTCCTGATCTCTGCCTCCTGAGTAGCTAGGATTACAGGCATGAGCCACTGGAGTATGGCTGCAATTTTTTTGTGTGTGGTAAAAAAAATGTAACAAAGTTTGCCATCTTAAGCATCTCTAGGTTAATAGTAGAATTAAGTGTTGAGTCATATTATTGTGAAACCAATCTCTAGAGCTTTAAGAACTTGCAATTATGAAACTCTATACCCAACAAACTCTCCTTTTCCCCCATAAGGAAGATTGTGAAAGAACTGGCATAAAGGTTAGAGATTTATCTTCAAATACATGAAATTCTGTCAAGTAGAAAATTCACGCCATGAGGATCATGAAAATATTTCAGGTAAACAGAAGGAAGAATTTTTTTTTTACTTTCTTTTTTTTTGATATGTTCACCAGACTGGCCTCAAACTCCTGGGCTCAAACTGATCCCCTTGCCACAGTCTCCCAAGCAGCTGGGACGACTGGTGTGCTCTTGCACCTGATGGAAGGAAGAATATTTTAAAAGAGAGGTTCACGTACAGAGTGCCTTAGATAAGGGAATGATATCCCTGTTCAAGAACAGAAAGCAAACTGCACATAGTGGTTCGTGTCAGTAATCCCAGCACTGGTAAGGCTGAGGCAGAAGGAGCGTTCCAGGCCTGGGCTATAGAGGAGCAAGACCCAGTCTCAAAAATAACAAAAGAGATGCTTTTTCACTTGTGCTTCTCACTGTTTTGAGAAAAGGATAGCTCTTTGAGCTGTGAATGGTGGCCAGAGCCTATAATCCCAGCACTGGAGAGGCTGAGGTAGGAGGATCACGAGTTTGAGGCCAGCTTGGGCTACATATCAAGACCCTATCTCAAAAAAACCCAAAATCAATAAAAAACAAATGAGGTAGTCCTTTGGCCCCATGCCACATCCTGTCAATAAGTGTAAATAAAGAAGCACAAACACTACGGTGTCAGTGTTGTTGGTTAATTTGGTTTTTTGAGATGGGGTTGTACCATATAGCCCAGGCTGGCCTCTTACTCCCGAGTGCTGGGAGTGCTGGGATTCAGGCACACGTGTGCTGCTGTGCCCCACTTGCAGGTGTTTTAATGACTGGTTAAATGCATGTCAGCATCCATGCCACCTGCTGAGGGATGCTTTCCAAGAGTCAGGCATGTCGATTGTTCTAAAACTGCTGCTATTTGTAAAAAAAAATTTGCTGAAATAGATTTGGCAAGAGAACTAGAAAAGTTTAAGGAAAAGGGGCTACAGAGGCTGGTGGAGTGGCTCAAGTGGTACAGCACCTGCCAACCAAGCGTGAGGCCCTGAGTTCAAACCCAGATACCACCAAAATAACAAAAGGCAGCAGCAGTGTAGCTCAGTACTACAGTATGTGCTTAGCATGCATGAGATCCTGGTTCAATCCCCAGTGTCCCCTCCAAAAAAAAAAAAAAGAAAAGATGAAGAAAATTTGAGGATGTCACTGGAATTTAGTTTTTTTCTGTATTCAATTTTGTGTGTATTTAAGTTTTCTGCTGTTTTTAAGGACCAGAATATTGTGGTAGGGCCAAACAGTATTTTAGTAATTTTGTACTAAAACCTTCGCTGTCCTAAACAAGATTCATTTTAGCGCTTCTCAAACTTTGCACCTCATATAGGAACAAAGGAGTGAACCTTTGTCGGGTGTATGCAAATATACTCTAAAACCAAAAAACCTTTTGGCTTTCTTTAAATCATCATGAAAAAACTTTGACAGGTCCCCTTATTCTGTGGCTTCACAGACCTCTCTGTGCACCACTGCACACCCTTACAAGAGAAGCCTGGGTTCAATCAGTTTCAATTTCAACATGTATTGAAAGAAAACAGAACTTCAATTTCAACTTCCTGGAAAAGTATTTTAAGAGACTGGGCAGTACCACCTGCACCAATGAGAGCAGAAGGGACAGTACCCAAAGAAAGGAGGTAAGAGGCATCGGGACAAAAATTCAATCTCACAGCAATCCAGCCATCTACTCCTTCAGTCACATCCAGTATCTACCTAATTTAGATGGACAGAGGATAGCCATTACTCTTCAGAGATGGCGCGTGGGTCTAACTCACTATTGTCGCTCTAATACCTTCCCCCATGCCTGGCATACAGGAGACACTCAATGAATTGCAACAATCATCACAGAAGGAACACTTGTTGGACAGACATAAGGCACTGTTTGAAGCACTTGGCCTCTAGTGATCCTTACAACCGCCTCATGCAGAATTCCTCAACAGCCCACTTTACAGAAGAGGAAACTGAACCCAAAAATCTTAAATAGCTTGCCTAATGTCCCATAGCCCAAAAATGGTAGAGATGGGATTCAAACTCAGCCAGCTTAACTCCAGCATCTCTGCTCTTGCAATGCTGCTCCATGAATAGAGGAGAAAATGACTGACTTACAAGAAAGGAAAGAACTATTTTAAGGCAGACGACTTTAGTTCCTTACAGTGCAGCTTGCTGCTTCGGCTGTTCAGGGTTCTGGCCCGTTCACGTCTTTGCTCTTTTCGTTGTCCTCAATGGGCCGGAAATGAGCCAAAGTCCTCATGAATCCACGGAAGTTTACCTGGTCCTCCCTGGTTAGGAAATGTAACAAACAGAACATGTCACTCGGGGTGGAGGGTGGGGGGGTGGCTTTTTGTTTTACTTTGTTTTTTGTTTTCCAGTGCTGGCTATCGAACCCTGGGCCTCACCCATGCTAGGCAAGAGCTCTACCACTGAGCTATACTCCCAGCCCCAGGGGGATTATTTCTTATGAAATATGGGCAATGCTTTTAGCTACAGTAAATGCTAAGTGCATTTAATAAGCTCTTTCCCTATCCAGGCTACTTCATGGCTTATAAAATACCTCCATTTAAGCCTCTCTTCAACCTTGTCAAGCAGGTGTTTTACTGCCACTTGTAAATGACTAAGCAGGCTTATAGGAGACAACTGGACTTAAGCAGGGTCACAGTTAACTGAATTTACTTTACCTATTTTCCAAAAAATGGATTTAGAGTAGTGCCAGGGCTACACAGGTAGGAGAGCCAGAACTTCTAGTCACTGCTATGAACGCTGAGGTAAGCAACAAGTTGGCCATTTTAACCCAAAGGCTCTTCAACCACCTCCCATCTTCCCCCCTGCAGTAAGCTAAACCTAGAACTATTTTGAAGTTACGGCATAATGGAAAAGCTGTTTTTAAAATAAAGTTGAGCCAGGTGCCTATAGACCTATAATCCTATAATCCTAGCTGTTTGGGAGGCCTAGGTTGGTAGGATGGAGGTATGAGGCCAGCCTGGGCAAATAGTTCTAGAGACCACCATCTCTAAAATAACGAGAGCAAAATGGACTGGAGGTGTGGCTCAAGTGATAGAGTGCCTGCTCTGCAAGTGTGAAGCCCTGAGTTCAAACCCTAGTCCCACCAAAAAACAAATAAATAAATTAAATAAAGTTGATTCAGTTATATAAGCAATTAATTTTTTTTTTGAAAACTTGGGAAAAAAGTAGAAAAATACCACTTGTAGTTCTACCAATCAAGTAAACCACTGTTGACAGTGAATACATTTTCTTTCATTAACTTTTCTATACTTCCTGCATATCTGTGAACATGCTGTACATGTAATTTTGAATCCTTTTATCTAAGTAACTTGCCTAGTGCTGACCTCAGATCTCTGCCTCCTGTGGAGCTGGGATTATAGACACGCAATACCACACCTAGACCCATATAAACAGCGTGAAACATTTAAATGCCCGTATAATACTGTGACCACATCATGACTTTATCATTCCTTCATAATTGGATAGGTGTTTCCCCTTCAATCTCCCTGATCATAAACAATGTTCTCAAAGACCTCTCTGTGTATAAAGCCTTTTGAGCACTTAAGTTTAGATAAAATCTTTTTATTGAGCCATAGGTTAATCAGTAGCCCTATAAGAAACAATTCTAAAATATGAACAAATAAAGAATATTCTTTTTTCTTTTTTGACACAGGGTTTCTATATGTACTGTGTCATACAGAAACATGCATGCTAGCATGTGCTGGCTTGGAACTCATTATACAGCCAAGGCTGGCCTCAAACTCACAATCCTCTTAGCCTCCCAAGTGCTGTTAGCACTTGGCTATGAACTACTATGCCTGGCTATGAAGAATATCATTTTTGGTACTGGAGCTTACTTTGCAAACACTCTGCCACTTGAGCTATATACCCCAGCCCTTTTTGCTTTAGTTATTTTTCAGATAGGGTCTACCATTTTCTCTGGGCCAGCCTCTGTCCATGATCCTCTTACTTCTACCTCCTAAGTGGCTGGATTACTAGCATGAGCCACTAAGCTCAGTTGAAGAAACGTTCTTTTTTCTTTCTTTTCTTTTTTTGTTTTTAAACTCAGGGCCTTGGGTTTGCTAGGCAGGCACTTTACCAGTTGAGCCATGCCCTCAGCCCTTATTTTTCAGATAAGAGTCTTGTATTTTTACCTGGGCCAGCATCAGACTTCAATCCTCCTACTTATGCCTTTCTCATAGATGTACACCACCATACCCTACTTGTCTGTTGAGATGGAGTCTCAGTAAGTTTTTTCCAGGGCAGCCTTGAACCTTGATCTCCACTTCCTAAGTAGCTGGGATTACAGGCATGTACCACCACACCTGGTCCTGAAGAATGTTCTTTAATATTAGAAAAGAATGTCCGATGTGACATTATTTAAGGTAAACATAGAAACAGTGGGTGGCCTGGTTCTTGTAGCTATCTCCAGTACCCAATGTTTGTGTACTAGATGAGATACGAAGTCAACCCTGTTCAGACCTAAGACGCAAGTTCAAGGGCTGCCTCTCCAGCTCATGGTAGTCAAAAGAATGCTCCTTAGTTCTTCCAGGTGGTGATGTGGTCTTGGAGCAGTGCATGGTAAACATGTGAGTGAGATCCAGGGAATTAAATGCATGGAATAGGATGTGACTTGCTCCCATAACAACAGGCTAATGAGTACATCCAGTGTCAGCGGGATGCCTCTAAGTAGCAGAACTCAATGGAAATAGTCTACTAACAAAATCTCAACCTTAGACACAGACACACACACAGACACACACAGAGACACACACTCAGACACACACAGAGACACACACACACACACACACACACACAGAAGGGAAACTCCACCTATTCAAGATGCGAGGAGAAATAAAAGCCCAGAAGGCAATTCTCTGCATCTGATGACAGCAGGCAGAGGGAGCAGTGCTGCTGCCGGGACGTGGTGGCCAGCACAGCCTCTGCTTTCTCGGGTGCCCTGCCTGGGTTCCTTAACACTAATGTGCTGAGGACGGAGGGACCACCAGATCAGAGATAATGTGCTTTAGTCTTTCAATAGCCTTCCACAAGCTGCCTCTTCAAATAACCCATGATGACTAAGGAACTGAAAAAAAGTTGGCAAAAGGTTTGGATACAAAGCATGTCTGTGAAAGCTGGCTCTGCACAGGGGTCAATGCTCTGCAGCCACTGCAAGTAGTAGCAAAGAAATGGAAGAATTTAGCACAAAAGCCATGCCAGAGACAGACAGCAGTTCCCAATTTGATGTAAACTGACTGACAGCCTCCCCGACTGCCACTCCCACTTACCAAGTGTCCAACCTCCCATCTCAACTACCCAACTCCTCTGATCCAAATTCAGACTCCTAAGATTTCCTTTCCAGGCATTTTATCTGGTAGTGCTCTAGCTGACAGTCTCATTATTTTTCTGTGTTTTGTTTTGTTTTGGTTGTTGTTTTGTTTTTGAGACAGGGTCTTGCTATATAGCCCGGACTGACCCTGAACTTGAGGTTCTCCTGGCTCAGTATTCTAAGTGCTGGGATTATAGGCATGGAGCACCACACCTGGCTCAAGTCCCACTGTTTAAAACTGGCACACATACAACACTTTGAAGACCTTTGGATCGTACAGACAACTCACATGAAACTGAAAGGAAACTGTTTAGGAGATTACTTCAAACAAGATTGTATGATTAAAGGCTGGTCGTGTGGCCCCAGTGGCAGCATGCCTTCCAAGCCAGTGTGAAACCCTGGGTTCAAAGCCCAGTGTCACCAAAAAAAAAAAAAAAAAAAAAAGATTATGATAATTATCTTTTTTCATGTGTCATAAAAAACCATAATCAAATCAGCAAATCTGTCCTCAGGAATGTGAGGGCAGTATATTAGGTAGAGAAGCAAATCAAAAGTCTAGTTTCCAGAGTCTTTACTCCCATTTCCTGGGTGGGGAGCAGGAAATGTTCCACCCCCTCCCATTTCTCTTTACTTTACTCTATTATATACTAAAATAAATCCTTGCTAAAACTTAAAAAAAAAAAGTCTCAGCACCTGGGAGGCTGAGGCAGGAGGAAGCTGGAGGCCAGCTGGGGATCTGTCTCTGGAAATTAAAAAAAAAAAAGTCTAGTTCGACATTAGACAAACTCAAGGAACACTCCACTTGAAAAAGTGTGTATGGTGTGAAGTAGCCAAGAGGGAGGAGGATAAGCAACCACGGATGCACGAACTGCACTATCAACATCATAGCCGCTAGTTACATGTGGCCATGAGCACTTAAAATGTGGTTAGCAGCTGGGCACCGGTAGCTCACACCTGTAATCCTAGCTACTCAAGAGGCAGAGATCAGGAAGATTAAAGTTCAAAACCAACTCAGAGCAAATAGTTCGTGAGACCCTATCTCGAAAATACCTAACATAAAATAGGGCTGGCAGAATGGCTAAAGTGGTAAAGTATCTGCCTAGCAAGAGTGAGGGCCTGAGTTCAAAGCCCAGAACTGTCCTCCCCTCCCAAAAAAATAATTAATCTAGGGCCAGGTGGGGGGGGTGGCTCACACCTGTAATCTTGGGTACTTAGGAGGTGGAGATAAGGTAGATGACAGTTGAGGCCAACCTGGACTCTAAAAAGCTAGCAAGACCCTATTGCAACCAAGCCGGGCATGGTGAGCCACACCTATGATCTGAGCTGTGTGGACGGCCATAATGGAAGGCCATAAGGGAGGTTGTGGCCCAAGGCTAGCCCCAGGCAAAAACTCGAAACCCTACCTGAAAAATAACCAAAACAAAAAAGGGTTGGGGCATGGCTCAAGTGGTAAAGTATTTGCCTAGGAAGCAGGAGCCGGAGTTCAAACCCCAGTGCTGCCAAAACAAAAAATCAACCAAACCAAACAAAAACCCAAAATGCTTTAACATAATTCAACATGTGTCATAAGTTTTAATTACACATTGGGGCTTCCATTTTTTAACATGAAAAAAGGTAAAACTCAGTAATTTTAACACTGATTATACACTGAATGGGTTAAATGAGATATATTGTGAAGTTAACTTATTTCTTTTTACTGATATGGCTATTAGAAAATGTATGATTATGCATGAGCTTGCATTGTATTTTTATCAGCTGCCACTCAGAATACACTGAACAAGGCAAAATGTTAACACGAAAACAACAGACGTGTCTTGGTAAAAGATACACAGGAATTAGTTGTAATATTTTTTATAGCTTTTCTGTAAGTTTGTAGTTATTTCCAAATGGAATTTTTAGGTTAGCTTTACATCAACGACAAACAGAAGACAGAATTTTGAAGCCAAGCTCATATACATAGTGACTTAAAATGGAGGAGAGTAGGACAGAAGAGATAACCAAGAGTTGACAAAATTAAGAGTTTCCAGTGTAATCAGGGGGATTGTGACCTGAGATGACCCAAGATGAGCAGTCCAGAGGAGGCAGGTCTGAGCACTGCTTGGACTTACCCTTCTGAAAAAAAGGCATTGATGATCCGGTCCCCCAGTGGGTTGATGGCAAGTTCTGGAATCCTCTGGAAATCTTCCCGGCTGCCAAGAGAATCACCGTGGGTTAGAGACCACTGGCCCTTAGCATGAGCTCCTCCAGTCTGCAGCAGGCTACAACCTAGCAAGAATGTTACCTCCCAGAACTACCTCAGTGACAATTACGCCAAAAAACTGCAAAGAATCGCACTTTAACAGCTGCCAGCTCAGGGGAAGCAGCCAGATCTGACTATGCCACATTCCAGCAAATTCAGCACACAGATTATGTCAATAAACCAAGGACAAGGAAATACCCAACTGTTCCTTAGTTAATGATCCCATGACCATACCATTTGTACTCAGTGTTAACTTTAGCCATTGAGCAGCAAATGGAAGGTATCGAACACTACAGAACTTGAACACGGGGGCAAAAATTTGGAGGAGCCCCCGCATCCTTGCTAAGACCTAAAGCACCTAGGAAACGCAAGGGATTCTCAGGTGATAGTTTCATTCAAGAAAAGAGTATGAAGACCAGTGGATTGCCAAACTTCTAGTTTTTTCTCCATTTAACCTTGACCATGCCCAGAGCAGTCACGTTCACATAGCCAGGAGGCTGTTCTGACATGATTATTAGCTGCTATCATGGCATATAAATCCCATGCTACTCCCTATTTATATACATGACCTCATTTCCTTATGTCTTAGAGATGAGAACAATGAATTAGAGAGGTAAAGTAACTTGCCATAGCCACAACTACTGAGTGGCAGGAATTCTATTTAAATTCAAATCTCTAAGTCATAGTGTGTGTTCTTTCCGTAAAACGCACACGCACACGCACACATTTCTTTCCCATGTTAAAACTTTTAGTGTTTGTTATTTCTTTCTTTTTTTTGGTGGGACTGGGGTTTGAACTCAGGACTTCACTCTTGCTAGGCAGGTGCTCTACCACTTGAGTCACATCTGTAGCACTTTTTGTTTGTTTTCTGAGATAGTGTCTTATTGTGTAGCCCAGGGAGACACTATGTAGTCCAGGGCCAGCCCTGGACTTGGGATCTTCCTTTCTCAGCCTCCCATGGGGATTATAGCCCAGCCCAGACTAAACTTTCTTTTTTTTTTTCAGTACTGGGGTTTGAACTCAGGCCTTGTGCTCTACCACTTGAGCTATAGCCCTATCCCTTTTTGCTTTAGTTTTTATTTTTCAGATAGGTTCTCAAACATTTGCTTGGGGCTACCGTCTTCTTCCACCTTCCACTCATATAGCTGGAATTGTAGGCTTACAGACATGTACCACACTACTCAGTTTGTTCTTTTTGTGATTTTTTTTTCAAGATAAGATCTCTCGAACTATTTGCCCAGGCTGGCTTTGAACTGCTATCCTCCTGATCTCTGCTTCCTGAGTAGCTGGGATCACAGGCCTAAGCCACCAGTGCCCGGCTCAGCTTGTTCTGTAAGTAGGGTCTTGCTCACTTTTTTTTCTTTGTCCAGGCTGACCTAGACAAAGAACACAGCCGGGACTACAGATTGCAATACCATGCCTGGCTCTACATATTAAACTTTTTGAAAGAAAGTTGCTCTCTCAAAGCATACTAAGTATTTTTAAAATTTTCCTGATGTTCTGTACCAAATACAAAGCTATGCAAAACATACCTGTGTTTCATTCTTCAAAAAAAAGCCAATACCAGGAAGGACAAAGAGAGGCAGAGTTGCTTGGGTGGAGATCACTGGTACAGTACAGGCTTAGCATAGCAAGGCCCTGAGTTTGATCCCAGCACCAAAAAAAAAAAAAAAAAAAAAAGGCAGGCAGAAGAGTGTTCCAGATCACAGGGCACTAAAAGAAACATGGGACTAAACTTAGTGCATGGTAGTGCATGGTCTTGGACTACAGAAACACTGCTCTGAAGGACATTTCTGGGTGACAGTGAGAGTGAAACATGGACCACATAGAACATGGCATATTATGTAATAGTTCTACACCAAAAGCTCAATTCCTTTTTGATTTTTGATTTATCATACACAATAACACAAGGAGATTTCATTGTGACATTCCATACACGTGTGTACTGTGCACCTTGAGCAAGTTCACCCTCCACTACATTCCCATCCCCCGCTTCCTCTTCTTCCTCTTCCCAAAAGCGCTTGGTAGGTTTCATTATGTTGTCTTCATTCGTGTCCATGTAGCGAACTTTCATCCTCTTCACCCAAAATGCTAAACTTCTTGGTTTTGATCTGAGAATGTCCATATTACAAAAATACACTCAGAAGTGCCTGACAAAATGCTAAGGAATGGTGGCCAGGGAATCTGGTACGTGACAGCTCTCTGCACCCTTCTTGTACAATGGAGTGCTAAAGTTCTCTAAGCGTGAAATTATTTCCCGAGAAAGAGTTGGGTGTGCATATCTGTGAGTACAGCTCATTCATTCCTGCCTCTAAGAATTCTCCCAACAGAAGACAAAAGCAAAACCAAACACCCCTCCACCTTCTTCATGTGAAATGCTACTGAGGACAGAAACCATCCCAGCTGACCCAGACTCACACTGTCCCGAATGTGGTTTCACATCTGCATGGTGCTTGATGAATTAACTCATTTAGCTCATCTCCACCTGGAGACATCTGGCTGCAGGTAGAAACTGACCTTGTGGCCTGAGCACAAAGCCCTGGAACTGAAACTATGGATTTTAATCGACCTTGATTATTTAAGGTAATAATATTTGTATCAATGAATGAACCAAAAGAAGTCACTCATTACTGGTTTGCTTAAGATGACAAAAGCTAAAGAGAATTACCGGGGTCCCGATTATCTAATCCAACAAACTCGGGGTTCTCAGCTTTCATTACATAAGCTGTCCACATTATCACCAAAACATAGCTGCTCTTGTTGGACAGAGGTTAGGAAACAATACTCCCTTTTAAGTCAGGCTGACCTGACTTGCATGGCCACATAACTCAGTTTAATGACTAACAAAATAAAGTGATTTCAGCTGAGAAATACCAGTTTATATACCAGGTGTAGTATCAAGTAGTGGGTGCGCAACCTGACCTGAACCCATCCGGCCCCAATGATGGAATTTAGAGTTGGACTTCCAATGTCAGTAAGGACCTAAACCCTGTCTTTAGCACTATTCAATTCTAGTTTTTGTTTTTGTTTTTTTTAATTTAAGACAGGGTTTCACTATGTTGCCCAGGATAGACTTAAACTTGTGTTCCTTCTGAATGCTGGAATTACAGGTTTGCACCATCACGCCTGATGTAACTCTAATCTAAATATTTACTTCGTATATCCAATGTGCTTCTAGTCACAAGACAAGGGGAATACTACTGAAAACAACAAAATTTAAATTCAAGAGTATTTAAAAACATTTCTTCAACTATCAAAACAACACACAAACAACTGTATAGACCGTACAGAATAGAAACCATCAAGACAGTTTCACTGAAACTTAGCTCCCCAAGTATGCCCACCAACACAAACCCAACAAAGAAAAAAATAAACATACAAGTGTAGCTGAAATGCAGATTTGTGTGTACTCATCACAAAACACACCAACATAATATCCTGCCTCATACCATACATAAAGATATTCCTGAAGGACTATGAGAGAAAAAGCCCGTTACTGGTAGCAGGTAGGTCTGAGAATGAAGCTGTGTGTAATGGCTGTGCTTTGTGGTCCAGAAATTCCCAACATGAGTGGTGTTCTAGTCATTCCAGAGCACAGGGATGCTTTACAAAGCCAGTCTGAGAGACTTCAGTAATCACAGGCGCCATCCCTCTCTACTGATTTCCTTCACAGTGCAAGTACTTTTTCTGTCCCTCTTCCCTAGGGCATATGCATGCTGGGCAAGCACTCTGCCACTGAGCTACATCCCCAGTCCCTGCAAGTGCCTTCTCTCACTGGGAGAGCAGGCTTCACAGGCACCTGCTTACATTTCAGGTACCCAGAGGTCAATGCTTTGCATAACTCACACATAGTGAGGATGAGAATTTGCTTCTAGGACACAGGAACACACATTCAATTGGGACAACACAGCTTAGGAATCCATATTCAATCCCCAGCAATGCAAAACTGCATAGTGTAACAGAGACTAACCAAATAGTGTGATATATTTATTAACACTGAAATGATCACTTCCAATACCTAAGGCATTTAATCAGTATTTTAAATTAAGTTGATAATTCTGTTGTTTTGACGGAGGCATTTTGTCACATGCCAATCAATATTGAAGCTTATCATTGCTGGTTGTTTATTTTAGTGTTCCAAGCCGGACTTCCTTATCTGCAAGGATGCATTCTGACATTTGGTTGACAGTAATGGCATATAAACGTTTACATTCTCTCATTCTCTAAAATTCCCTGAGATGTCAGCAAAACAGTATACACGGCCAGACAGCCACCACAAAAACAATTAGGTTGTCAGTGGCTCACACCTGTAATCCTAGCTACTCAGAAGGCAGAGATCAGGAGGATCGCAGTTTGAAGCCAACCAAGGCAAATAGCTCCTCAAGACCCTATCTCAAAAAAATCCATCACAAAAAGGGCTGGCGGAGTGGCTCAAGATGTAGGCCCTGAGTTCAAGCCCCAGTACTGCAAAAAAACCACAAACCAATTAAGTTAGGATAAGTGTACTAGTGGACAAGAGAGTCTGAGAAATTGTGGAATCCAGAAGGTACATGCAAACGGCATGACAAATAAGTTGGAGTAAAAAGGTGGCAGCAGAATCTTGATGAGGTATCACACGCAGTTGCCAGGGAAGAGAAGTGGTGTTCAGAGTAATCAACTAAAGGAACTTCTAAGAATGGGGCCCAGGGGCCTGGAATGCAATGGCTGCAAAAGGCAGCCCCCTCAGAGGCAGATGAAGCCTATTGCTTGTAGGAGCTGCCCCTTGGGACCTTGGAGTCAGACCCCTCCAGTGGATGTTCATCCCATCCTCAATCTAGCCTCAAGAAAGGTATATGGAGTGCCTTTGGAAAGCCCCACGGCACAGCATCATGTCCATCTGTCCATGTCCAGCTGCAGAACAAGAAGTATGTTGATTGATAACCTACACAGAGCCAAGTTCAAGTTCCCTGG